AGGAAACTTTGAAGACTACAGCCTCCCAGATATAAAAGGTACACAAGAAGCTACTGTGAGAAAGATGTAGAATAATCTTAATAGGTTGACTCAATATTCTTAATGTAAGATTTAAATTCCCTTTAATTTTTGCCAGTAAGCTGAAATAAATGTGTAGTTGATGTAAGTCTTCAAAATCTTTTGACCTTTTTCATCTCTAGATAAAGTAGAAAAAACAAAACCAAAACCAACACAAAAAATAATCTTAGTTATAAAAAAATAGTAACAAAGTAGTGTGATATGAACCAGCAATCCATTGCAAGGTAGTATGATTCTCTGTTTGGTCCAGAAATGTGTGGGTTTCAGTGCCTAATTTAAAGTATTTACATGGATTCCCTACCTGTATCTCTAACAGAACACACTCTGAGCCTGCAAAAACTCATGTTTCTAAGGAAGAGTAAGTGAAGCAAATATAGTATGAGGCCTATGACAATTCATGCAACACCTAAGAATAAAAACAAAGATGATATTCATGCAAATTAGGTCTCTGCTTCATCTCAAACAGCTGATGCCAGGGGTCAGACTCTGATTTTTCTTGATACAAGGGGCCATGGAGACAAGGACAAGTATGTTTTCCAAGTGATTGTACACTAAAGAAAAGGCCAGGATTTTCAAAGTGCAGGAAACTTTTGGGAAACTCCCTCTACATTGTAATCTCAATCTTTACTCCCTAACTCCAGGGGACTGTAGAGAAGGTAGCTTTGGTACTCAGCAGAAAAGAAAGTAAAAGAAAAAAATGTGTGTGTAGGTGTGTGAGAAGGTCAGCCTCCACACTGCTTTATACCCCAGGCAAAGAGGGACGGTTGGTCAGGAACACTCAGACAGGGCAGTCAGTTTCAGTTGTCCCGAACTAGAAGCATAGGCAGGTGCCTGGAAGAGAGCAAATGCAAGTTTCTCCGGAGGCTGATGCCAACATTTTTTCTTCAAGGACAAGAGGGAAATGATAAGGTACAACATAAATGAGAACAACAAAACTTACAAACTTACCAAGACTACAATCATTGGAATAATCAGACACAAATTATAAAACCATCATACTTGTTCCATTACATGCTTAAAATTGTCTACAGGCAACCAGAAACTATAAGTCTAAATAGAAGATTTGAAGAAAAATAAATGAATTCCTAGAAATGTAAGATATAATTATTTAAACTCAGAGGATAAATTTGATAACAAGAGAGAAAATTAGTCATGTAGAAAACATCACATCAGAATAAATCATTCAAAATAGAGTAAGAATAGACTAAAGATGGAAAATGGAGATGCAAGAGTAAAAGATATGAAACATAATAAAAGATGAAATGGTCTAATATACATTTAATCAAGAGTCCTATAAGGAGAGAAAAGAGAAAATGGTCTGACAAGGAGATATCTAAATACACTGTGTCTGATAATTTTTTTAGGAATTATGAAAGGCACAGCCCACACAGATTTAAAAGGCCTAACATGGGTGTCCAATTTTTTGGCATCGCTGGGCCACACTGGAAGAAGAACAGTTGTCTTGGGCCACACATTAACTACATTGCAACATTTAATCACAAAAAAATCTCAGTGTTTTAACTAAATTTACAATTTTGTATTGGGCCGCATTCGTAGCCATCCTGAGATGCATGTGGTCCACATATTGCAGGTTGGACACCCCTGGAAGAAATCCAAGGAGAATAATTTTTTAAATCACATCCTGATATGTCACAGTAAAACTGCAGATGCAAGACAGTAGACATTTTTGAAAGCACCCAAAGTTTTGGAAATCATTAATCTTAAAAAATAGCATCAAAATTTCACCCAACTTCTCAATAGCAATAGGGGAAGCTGTGAGAGGAATAATATCATTGATGTGCTGAAGGAAAAAATTAACAAAAGTGATAACAGACAAATGATAATTCCTTATTCAGTTTTAAAATTTTAAGAATAAGAATAAAATAAAAATATATTTAGACTAACAAAATCAGATTTTTTTAAACAACAAAATCTCACTAAGGAAAATTTTAGAAGTTGTACATCAGAAAAAAGAAAAACGAGGTCTAAGAAGCAAGAGAGAATAAAAAGCAAGGAAAGCAATACCGTAAATAAAATATAAAGGAACATTAACTACCTAAGATAGTAATAAAGTCTAGTGTGGTTCATAAACAAAAAGAAAAATAGGATTAAAATGCCAAATAAGGTTAGAGAAAGACAGCATACTTAATTATGAAATGTTTAGAGTGTTCCTTTTAAATCAAAATTGAAATAATGTTTAGAATTAACAAGACAATTTAGCAAAATTTCTATATGTATGTAAGATCAATGTATAAAAGTCAATTGTATTTATCTCTTCTGAAAACAGCTAGAAAAAATCTATTTAAAAAGTGCATGCATACAATTTATAATAGTACCCAAAATACCAAAAACATAAAAATAAATCCAACAAAAGATAGAAATCTTTTGTAAAAGATTTTTTCCATAGAACCTCTATGGAAAAACATTTAAATTTCATTGAGAAAATTTTACAAATAACTATATAAATGGAGAGAGATTTCTTGTTAGCAGATTGGAAACCTCACTCAGCTAAAAATGCCAATTCTCAAATTGATCTATAGATTCAAAAATATCCAATAAACAATCTCGTGTGCTTGGAAAAATAATTATGAAAAACTGATTCTAAAAATAACATTCAGTATATCATTGAAGAAGAATAAATTTGGAAAATCAGTCACATTAACTAATCAATGTTATTACAAAATGATAGTAGCTAAGGCAGTGTGGTATTGGTATAGAAAGAGACAAACAGATCAGTGAAACCGAATAAAGAGCCCAGAAACATGCCCATTATATGCAGACACTTGATTTATGCAATAACTGTACTAGAGAAACAGTGGAGAAGGGTGTTGATATTTGGGTATGTATATTAAAAAAAGGAAATTAGACCTGTTCTTAATATCATTCACAAAAAATCATTTCTACATGTAACACAAAACAACAAATTTTAAAGGAAATAATGTATAAGAATATCTACATTATCTTGTGGTGGAGATATATTTCTCAGCCAAAATACAAAAATGACTAATTATAAAACATTTATAATTAACAACTACTGTTCACTAAATGATATATATTCTATAATACAAAAAGTCCATTCCTAGGTATGTACCTTAGAATATGTGCTAGGATGCTTATGCAACGGTGTTCACAGAAACACTGTTTATAATTAACCATAAACAGGCAATAACTCAAATGGCCAACAACAGAAGAATGCATAAATAGTTTGCATATGTTAATAAAATGGACCATATGAGATAGGGTGCATTCAGGGTGGTAGGGCCATAGACTGACAGTAGCCAGAGGGGAGGGGGGAGGGGAATAATGGGGGGAAAAGAAGGGGGAGGGTCATCAAAGAACATTTATAAAGGACTCATGGACAAAGCCAAGGAGGGGGTAGGACTGAGGAGGGAGGTGAGGGTGGGTAGGGTGGGGGAGAGTGGTGGGAAGAAAATGGAGACAACTGTACTTGAACAACAATAAAAAAATAAAAGAAAATGGACCAATAGAAAGAACAAATCAACAATGAATATTATATACTTACACTCAACATCTTGAATAAGTCTTAAAAGCATAATAACTATATTAATTTTCAAGACTTCTGAATAATGAAAGGCACCACAAACACAAAGTTGAAAGACAAGCCAGACCAGAAGTATTCATAATGAATTTTTAAGAATATCAAATATCAATTAAGAAAGACAACATAAAAGTAAATCAGTCCAACATATGAAGAGATAATTCATAGAAGTAATTCTAATGGCAACAGACATTAAAATTAGTTATCATCTCATTAGTTATCAGAGATTTCAAAAAATTAGTTATCAGGCAAGTACCACGTTTGACTTCCTGTAACAGCAGATACTAAGAAGTCTGACAATACCAGGTGTTGGTGAAGATGGGGGAAGTGATACATTCACATACTGGTAAAGAAAATGTAAATCGATTCAGATACTTTGGAGTGCCATACCATCAAGTTAAATTTAAAAATCAAGGCATTAAAAAAATCCACTCCAAAGACATATACAGGTACACAAGGAGAAATGTACAATAATTTTCCCTATGGCATTCATTTTATTGCAAAATATGGAAAACAAGGTAAAATTAGAATTCATAATATTAGAACATTATGCAGCTGCTAAAATGAATGAAGAAAGTACATAATCATCAATATGGATTGAACTGAAAACATAACATTAATTTTTTAAAAATCAAGTCACAGATAAATGTGCTATAATTTATCTGTGTATGTAATTTATGTAAATGTATAATTACATTTAGATTCACATGGAAAATACAATTTTATATTCACATATATTAAAGTAGAAAAATGAACTGAAATGCCATCATCATTATAGTTGGGAGGGCATATATGTCATCAAAGAGCTTCAAGTCAATCTGTTGATCTATACTTTATTAAAGAAAAGTATTTGAAACAAACAAAAATATATGTCAGCATGTAAGTTTCATTATATATTTTATTATTCTATTTTTAAGTTGTAAAGTTTCTTAAAATCACACATGATTTTTAAGTTCTTAACAAACTTTGATTTAGTAACTTCATTTTAGAAACTTTATCCCAAAGCAATAATTTGATGAAGACAAACATTCTATTGTGGCTTAATTTGAAATAGTAAAGGACATAGCAATAACTAAAATGCTATATAACATAGTAGTTATTAAATGCTTTCTCATGCATTTCATGGATTATTATGGCAACTTAAAATATGTATATGATTATAGAAAAATTGCTTATTTTAAACAAACATGTAGAATTCAAAATTTTGGAAATGGTTATAAATAATGAGGCTATCTATTTAAAAATAGTAAATTTTAATATTTCTATCCTAGTTATGTTTATTGCTCACAATTATTTGTACTTTCTAAATTATACAATACATATGGGTCCACTACTTTAATAATATGAAAATCTTTTAACTTACTTTGATTTATTACTTTTTCTTTTCCTTAAAGTTTGCAAGTCCAACCTCAAGGGTTGTTCATAATAAGAGGAAGATATCACTCCGAATGGATTAATCACAGGTGATTTTTTAACAGGCATATTCATGGATCATAAACCTAAAGAAAAAGGTAAAATTCTATATTAGAATACAAATGTACTCTCAGCATAAAATAATAACTGTCATGCGAATTCATTATTTATGGGGGAAAAGGTGGCAGGAAGGAAAATCAAGGTTAGGTATGAAATTATATTAAGGAAGTATTTAAATTTAAGCTATTAGACCTAGGAGTCAAACCCAACTTTGAATAAAAAACCCATATTCTATCTATTGTTACTATTATAAAATTATCCTTTCATGTAATATTCAGTCTTTATTGTACTTTATTAGTTTTATGAGTGCAATCATTGAAAGAACAGCATGGCATAGTAGTTGAAAGAACACAACCAGACTAACTGATTTACTTAACTGCTCTGTGCATCAGTTTCCTCTCCTGCACAAAAGGAATGATACCCTTGTAGAAATAAATAGACTAATATATGTAGATTGCTTAGAATAAAGCCTGACTGAAAGGAAGTTTTACATATATAAGTACTTATGATCAGTATTAGATTACTATACTTCCTGCTTTTTAAGGTTACTTATAAATTTCTTTTTCTGTCTTCTGTCTTTTTGCCATTTAGATTATGTGTTCTCTGCTTGCCCTCACATTCCAGATTTATTTTCCTTTAGAAACATATCTGAGCATATTTTATGGGTGTAAGACCAAAACTAGGGCACGCTATTTGTGTTTGGTGGAATATTTAAATAGCAAAATGAAGTAACAAAATAGGTAGTCAGAATTATATTGAATTATTTTGCATTTCATTTTTAAGATCGCTAACTTTTAACACTTGACATTTTATCAGTAAAGGTTCTGGCAGGCAACAGATGACACACTTAGATGTGGTAACTGCATAAAGAGACTTTTTCCAGTGACATGGCAGAGCTAGTTAAATAAAAAATTAAAAAAAAAAGAAAAGAAACCTTGAGATGGTGTTGTTCTCACGGCTGGCAAGAAGGGGTAAACCATTACTACTTGCAGGGCTCCACTAAAATTGTCTGTCTGTGCTTCCCATTAGCTAAACCAAACTACAAGCTAGAAGGTGCAGGGCAGAATACAGAATAGAATGTGGATCTGGAGGAGTAATGGGAACATATCTACCACAAAACAGATTATAAACTCAAAACGTCATTACTTATTGCTATTGCTTATGGAAAGGTCTGCTTCTAATAATCTATAACCATTAGAATGTAAAGCAAATGTATTTTTGCATCAGTAGCTGTACTGAGCTGTGTATCGAAATGTCATTGAGAGTAGTCCTAATATAAAATAAAAGTTATTCCCAAACAGGATTAATATATTCAGGAGATTTTTTTTCACATCTGCTGGTAACGGGGGTCGATATTTGGACCATCTGCACAACACGCAAGTTCTACAACATCCTGCAGACGAGCCTTTCCCAGATGGCATGAGTGGAAAATGTCAACTTGCTATAAAAGTTGCTCCATGCTTACTCTCCATTCCTGGCTTATTTTGGGAGTGCTTACCTTGAGAGTAACAGTGCTTAACTAGTTTGTGAGACACCATTTGAATAGTTAGGATTGCTTTTGGCTAAAAGTAACAGTAATGAAATAATCTCAAGTTTCCAAAAAAGAAAGTATGAATGTCTTCAGAAATGTTTCCCAAAGAGGTATTGAAATTAACACCTTAGTGGGGTGAACAAACAAAGAAGATAACACTTTAAATGACTCCCTCTCCCCACCAAAAATACTCAAAATAGAGAAACTAAAAATGTTATCAATGTTCACAAAGTTTTTGGTCTTTTTATAAGAATATTCTTCATCAAATGTCAGTAATGTCCAAAACCTGAAACTATCCACAAGGGATTGTTGTTGTTGTTTTTGTTGTTGTGCATACAGTAGAATCCAGTCAACCGTCACATGACTAGCAGCAGTAGTGGTAGCAGCACTATATTTTTTATGTTGCTCCCTGGTTTTATTTTTTAATTTTCATTGCATGTGCAGTAGTACCCAGTCAAGCCTTCAAATGACTAGAGCTTCAGCTGATAGCTAACTGAAGTCACAGGAGAGACCCTAAATGAGAACTGTTCAACTTCGGCTGAGGGCAATCGACTCCAGAACCATGAGAGCTGATAAAAAATTATTTAACATAGTAAGTTTTAGAATGGTTGTTACCAGCAACAGATACCCAGCATATTTACTGAATTGTACAATGAACATTTATGCATGTCACTATATGCAAAATTTCCCTCAATAAAAATAAGATGATAAAGGAATATATTGTATTAGAATTAGGTTTAGTGACATAAAATTTTTTAAAGATTTAAACCTAGATAATTTAGAGTCATTTTGGCAGCTTCACAGTCATAAGAAACCAAGGTTCCATCTAAATCTTCCTTTCATGGTCATTGTCAGGCCTGACCTTACTTCAGGTTGTTCAGTAGTTCATGTAGCATCAAATTATTTGGGAGGCACTATTGTCACTATGTGCTCTTGATTTCCATCTTCAAAGGAGCTCTGTTAATCTAGTCTCCTTTTCATCTCTTCTGCCATTCACCTAAGTCAGAATGCCATTATCTTTGTCCTAGATTAATACAATAACTTCTTAACTTCCAGTCTCCTGATCTGTCTCCTCTAGTCTCATCTTTTACAGGACTGCCAGAGTAACTTTTCCAAACTTAAATCTCCTGATCATTTCGCTCTTCTACAGTCCCCATCAATGTGTTTAAGGCTCTCCACTATATCCCTACTGCCAACAATAAAATCCAAACTTAGAGTAGGAACTAATCAGATTGCTGGAGCATAAAGTTTGAGTATATGGTATATATTTTGTCTATTGGGTTGTTTTAATAGTGAATTATTTTATCTGCCGCTAAATAAACTATATGTATCAGTTATAAATTTAAATAGCAAAACTTTTAGACCAAATATATTGTAAACTGGACAATCTTATCCATTTTGGGATCCTGCACTTATATGTAAAAAACAACAACAATAATTGGACTATTTTACCAGGTGGCATGTGGGAAAAATGAGGAAATATAAGACCATGTCCCTTTTGGAAATAATTAAAAGACTAGAAATGTTGGTTTATAAAAAGATATGGGTGATGGGGTACTATTAACATCTCTTAAGATGAAGGCTTTACATATATTTTTAAGAATTCTGCTCCCTTTTGGTTTGTACTTCTCTATTCAGAGAATACACACACACACACACACACACACACAAACATATATACATATAAATATATGTGTGTGAGTGTATGTTTTCTTCCTTTCTTGACTGAATTTCTCCAAGGCAGAAAGAAGCTGAAACTGCCTGAAGTCACTGGCTCCTCCCCATCTTAAGAAAACAAAGACAAAAAGAAAATTCGGCACTTTGAAAATATGACACTGGGTGCCCTGTAGGGAGAAGAAAATGTTCTGCAATTGTAGAGACAAAGACGTATCCTGAAACTGGAAGGTAACAGAGGTTATGCAGAGCCATCTCCTCTGTTGCAGCGGCATCCCCTGGCGGTGACAATACCAAGGGAGGACATGTCTGGGCACTGCATTTTAAGAGATTGGACCCCATATCATAGTAGACCCCACAGTATAGCTCTTGTGCAGGCCTAGTTGTGGTGCCAAAGAGGTACGTACAGACAAAGAGGACCACATAGATATGACCATTGACCCAATGCCCTATAGTGCCCCTCCAATGTTTTTTGATACATAAGGATTCAGGACTTGGGAAGACCACAGGTAGGAGCAGGCCTAATGAAAACTAAGATTGACTATCCAACCAGTAGTTTGGAGTATACATAGTCAATTTAAAGAAAGAACATAAATGTTTCTTGTACACAGGTAAGTCTAACAACTATGATTCATAACTACTACCTGTAATCTAACTTCGTAGTAGTAAATAAAACAACTGGCATTTTCCCAGAGGTGGTAAGTATAATGCATAAATGAAATAGTAATATTCAAAGAACTGAAAACAGAACTGTTTAAAGTATTTACAGATGATTTTAAATGCCTTGGACAATGAGGAAAATGAACTAAAAGCACCATTAAAGTTTAAATAAGAACTATTTCCATCAATTTCTCATCACTCATTTATACAGGAAAATTGCAATGAGCTGATACTTCATCGATAAACTCTTGTTCTGACTTAAACCTCTTTTTCTACCGGTGGAAGGATGTCAATCTAAAATGGAACTGGAGAATATGGAATGGAGAATATCCCATGCATGTGCTCTCAGGAAAATGAAACTTAAGAACTGAGAAATTGATCCCCACAAATACTTGATTTCCTGAAAACTGGAACTTAATTCCTGAACAAGGAACACCCACAAAGAATCTCTCGCCACCCTCAAGCCAAAGAACTTACTGCTTTGACTTCGACTGGACTCCTCCACTCTTTGCTCATAAATACAGCCCACCCTAAACCTTCAATGGACTGGCTAGTAGCTTGCTACAGTTTGTGTTTCCAAAACTGCTGCTCCTCTGCTATTCCTGAATAAACTCATTTTCTGATCATTTGAGTTTGCCTCAGTTTACTTCTTTATTTAGGTTGACACCATATACAAAGTCATTTGCCTTTGGTACAAACTACTAATGTGATGAGTGAGTGATTTGTGAAGGAATTGCAAAAGTGGATGTAATTGTCCATGAATTCTATTACCGGGCTTATGATTTGTGTCAGTACTTTTTATTTACTCACAACATTCAACATACAATAAAAATAAAGAAAAGTATACATACACACACACTAACATATAAACTGGAAGTAAAAAAATACTTTGACCATTTTATATTTAATACTTCCAAATGTACCACATTAGTCATTTTAAGAGGTTGTCATTTAGGAAATTCATTTTGGTTCAGTTTCCACAAAAATAAAAGTGCTAATGATGCTTGAGTTTCCTATGTTTGAGAGATGGACAGATAATTAAACACTGTCCCTTCCTTTAAGAAATTGTAATCTAGAGAAAAAGGACTGACCTAAAAACCAACAATACCACATTTCAAGGTACTGAATTCTGTGACAGGGCTCCAAGTGATTTTAGGGGGGGAAATTGCCCAAGAGGAATATTTGATTAATATGACATTCTATGAAAGTATGGCAAGCTCTAAAGAATAATCTATTTAAAAATTAAAAATCAATAAGATGGGTTTTACACTTATCTGTCTCAAGAGAGTTCCTCGTCTGCTTTGGCCTCAAGTTCAAAGAATGAATATATCTTTATCTAATGAACAGGATACTTAAATTTGAAAGAACTTAACAGGAATTCTTTCAGTACAAATGTATCAAAATATGGCGGTCTTTAATTTTTTTTTACCATTTAAAACAAGGATAAATCAAAGTCTTTAAGCTATTTCTGAAGGAGCAAAAGAATCATGAAGAACTGAATACTGAATGTGAATGTAAATATTCAGATTGGCTGTAGAAATTTAAGAAGCTTCATGGCATAAAATACCTAAATATCTGCATGAAAAAATCCTGCTTAAAAATTCATTGATGAATATTCTAAGGTAATACCTGATGGAAACCTTTGTCCTGAACCTGATGAAATAGCTCTATATAGGTGCTATGTCCTAGAAGAGCATTTAACCACGGCTGAGGAAAGGCAACCCTCAGGTTTCAAAGACAATAAGCACTGGCTGGTTGCTCTTAGCGTACTATGCCATAGGATGAACTTGACAGTAATTAGAAAATCCAATGTTCACAATATATGAAGGATATATATATATTTTTTGTCTATGCATGACTGATTAAACAAGGAAGCTTGAATGGCCAGAGAAGTGATTGAATGACCTACTAGCTGAATGACACTTCATACCAAGTACATGAAGGCATTACAGGCAATCTGTACTGAAAGAAAACAGTACAATGGATTCTTCTCAATGAATTGCTTTCTGCATCTTCTCCTGGACTTCTTGTAAAAATAATGTTTTTAGTATTTGTTCTCCCACCTCACATACACACATACAGTATAACATCAGTGATTAACACATGTGGCCATGGAAATTTATGTTCTGTAAACAGAAGTATAAACTTGTCTTAAGTGTGAGCTAGCTGCCACAAAGATCCAAGAATCCAAGAAGATCTGAATGAGTTCAGATTTAATCATGCCATTAACATTACGTACAACTTTACGTGTGAATATGGATATATGTTTCCAGTCTCTTAAACAAGTATCTAGGAGACGAATTGCTGAATCATGTGGTAACTCTATGTTTAACCATTTGAGGAACTGCCAGTTTGTTCTCCAAAATGGCTGCACTATTTTACATTTTCACCAACAATGTCTAAAGGCTCCAATTTCTCCACATCCTCACTAACACTTGTTATCTTTTTGATTACCGATATCCAAACAGGTATGAAGTGGTTTTGATTTGAATTTCCCTAATAGCTAATGATATTAATCATCTTTCCACATGTTTATCAGACATATGTATATGTCTTTTAATGAGTGTCTATTCAGATCCTTTACCCATTTTTAATTGTGTTGTCTTTCTGTTACTGAGTTGCAATGTGTTAAAAAGAAAACAGCAACCCCAAAAGGAGTCACTTTTGCTAAATCCCATGATACTAAATCTAGATGTAATACCTGACCTAACTGGTGTGTCAAACTCTCCCAGAAATATAATCTTAACCAACAAAACTGAAATTTTATGGGCAATATCAATGAGGTAACCTGTCACATGGGCCCTATCTATCCCTGCCTCCTCATAGATAGAAGAGGCAATCCACATAAAACAACAAAAACCCTGTATACTCCTTTCCCCCCAAAAGAAGATGTCCTGATTGAAAAATCCTTTTATTTTTCCTTTAGTTAATATCTCCCTTGCTCCACCCTTGTTCCTATATAAATATTTTATTGTATACAACTTTTGGAGTTCCTTTCTAGATGCTAGATGGGATCAATCACTTAATAAAGCCGATTAGATCTTCAAATTTACTCAACTGACTTGTTCTTTAACAAAAGGTTTTTATATATTCTAGCTACAAATCCCTTTTTAGATGTATGATTTGCACAAATTTTACCTTAATTTGTGGGCTGTCTTTTCACTATCTTGATGATATGCTTTGAAGAGCTATGTTTATAATTTTGATGAAGTCCATTGGGTCTATTTTTTCTTTGGTCGTATATGCTTTTGTTGTCATATCTAAGAAACTGTTGCCTAAATCCACGTCAGAAAGATTTATGCCTGTTTTCTTCTAAGGGTTTTATAGTTTTAGCTCTTACATTTAAGTTTTGGATCCATTTGAGTTAATATTATAAATGGTATGATTTAGTGTTTCAACTGCATTCTTTTGCATATTGATATCCAATTGTTCCAGAACAATTTGTTGGAATTTTTTTGTTGTTGAATTATTTTAGCACCCTTATCAAAAGGCAATTTACCACAAATGTGAGGGTTTATTTCTAGTTTCTCAATTCTACTTCATTGACCTATATGTCTGTCTTCACACCAGCACCACACTGTCTTGATTACTGCTGCTCAGTAGTAATTTTTGAAATTGAAAACTGTGAGTCTTCCAAATTTGTATTTCTTTTTCAAGATTGTTTTTTCTATTCCAGGTTCAAGGCAGAATTGCCATGTGAATTTTAGGACTAGCTTATCAATGTCTGCAGAGAGCAGCTAGAATTTCAATAAGGATTGTATTGAATATGAAGATCAATTTGTGGAGCATTGCTATCTTAACAATATTATGTATTTTAATCCATGAGAATAGGATGTCTTTCCATTCATTTTTGCCTTCTTTACTCTCTTTCAAATAACATTTTGTAATTTTCAAAGTATGTTTTACACTGCCTTTGTTAAATTTATTAAGTATTTCATTCTTTTTGATGCTATTATATGTGTATTTTTTCTTTCTTTATTTTTCTGTTTGCTAATTGCTACTGCAAATTGATTTTTGAATATAGATCTTACATACTGCAACATTGTTAAACTTTTTTATTAGATCAACTAGTTTGCTAGTGGATTCCTTAGCATTTTTATTTATGCAACATCATGTCATCTGAAAATATAGTTTTACATGATAAAGAAATCAATTCATCTGGTTTTATGGAAATATAAGCATAAATAAAGAGTACAGTATTTAGTTTAATCAGTAATTTTCAAAATGTGTTTTGTGGAATACAGATTCTTAGGATAAATTACCTACTAAAAACTTTTTGTTGTGAAATAAGTTTGAGGAACATTGTACTAAACAAAATTAAAAGTTTGCATATTACAAGACATGTCAGACTTGTTAGCAGGGTCCTCTGTGCTGCAAACCTCTCTGAATAACAGTAAGATATATAGTTGTTCCTAAATTTGACCAGAGAAATCTTTAGAACACTATCTCCTAGAATCATATGCATAAAACAGCTTGGGAAATTCTAACTGATAGCACTACACGAAGTATTTATTAGGCACTTGTTATGACTAGGCACTTTTACTAGGAGTTCTGGATGAACAATGAACTCCAAGAGAGGAACACTTACTAAATTAATTATGATAATGAATGATTCTGATTTTGAATCAGATGTCCAAAAGAATATAGCATTATTTGTCAAGATCACAAGGTTTCATGGGGAATAGTTTTTACTGAAATAAAAATTTAGTACTCACCTTGAACCTGAAGATTTATGTGGCGCATCGAAACAAAGAACATTTATACATTGAGGAGATATGTTTCAGCTGATGAAACCGCTCCAGAACGCTGTTTGTATGCTTGACACTTCATTTGCCACCTGGTATAGATCCTGAATTTAAAAAAAGAAAGCAAAGGTTTTAACATTAATCCTTAGTGTATTTTGTTAAGCTCCAATTAAAACAAGTTTAGAAAAGTACACTTCAAAAAAACAATTTATGAGAACTAGACAATGTTAAAATTATCTAACAGTGCTAAAATTAGCAAGTCTTTGGATAGGTAACCTGCTTTAGGGAATACAAGATTTAGACTACAGCCTTAAGGAACACAAGATAATTTGACCAAAGACCACCAAAAAAAGTATAATTCATTCAGACACATTGTTGAGATAAGGTAAATAAGGGAATCCTACCATCACCTTTACTCCTAGAAATTTTTCCTAGTGGATAACTTGTACCCTCTTCTCAAGATTAATTGCCTTTTTAAAATCCTTGGGTTTTACATCCTCAAGGCATTCCCCGCCCGCCCCCACACCCCACACACACGAGTGCGCTTTAAATTTTTGAAGGAGAGGGAGAGAGAGAGAAAGGTGGGAGGCAATTTCACCAAATATGGGAGGACTTGAAAACTGTACAGTGAGGCAAGCTGGCTCCTGAATTAAGAGTTGATAGCGGACAAGCGACTCCCTGTCCAGAGAAAATGAAAAGAATTCCCCAATTGATAGCAATAAGAAAGTTCCCAACTTCTTATGGTCTCCCCAGCAAGAAAAGCTATTTCCCTATCAGATGACCTGGTGGCTGACCCCCTACTTTCTCCTTTCATGTCCTCGCAGGATTGTTTCCACGCTAGACCGTTTAGAATCTTAAGAGGGGCTGGGATGGCAGGCCTGGCCTGGGGGCGTGAGTAGTGGAGTTTTCTTCCAGCAGCCAGAGCTTTGGGACCCTAAAAAAGGAGGCTCAGCGCTGCCATGGGTGTGTGTGGGTCTCCTGGTTGCCCTGGAATAGTGAGTGCAGCAATAACCTTACTTCTCAAGTGTTCACAATCAAGATCTGGTAGGGACTCACCGCAGCGCTCGGGGTCGCCGGGGACCGGGACTGGTTGCTAAGGACGCTATAGGAGCCGCTCTTAGAGCCGGAAGGTCGTCTCAGGACCAGGGTGAGCCAATCAGAACTTGTTAGTGCAATTCCACCTTGTTTTCCCAGCCTTCCCCGCGGTTGCGTTCAGTTTCGAACGAACAGATGCAATGATGTTTGAAGGATATTTACTAGCTTTAAAATATAATCATAAAGCACATAGTGATGATTCGGTTTTAATATGGTACATACGTTAGCTAACCGGCCTGTGTGACAGTGATTCAGTGTCTCTTCCATGACTAAATACCTCCTCCAAAGCTCCCCCGGCACCAAAAAAAACAAAACAAAACAAAACAAAAAAAACAACAAAGAAAACCTAAATTAAAAAATCAAAATAAAAATAGCATGCTTTCTATACAAAGGTACCTATATCTCTGAACCAAATTGCTGTTCAAAGTCTTCTACATAGAAAATCTGGACCGGATGGTGGATAAACAAAGCGTTCCGGGTGTTCTCTATGTACTAACCACAAGGGGGCAAATTTCAACTAAAGAAAATGCTCATTTTTGAAGATAGTGTCCAATAAAATTTTCTAATTCAAATCCATATAAAATTCCCGTGTCTGCCAATGGGCCAGCAACTTCAAATATTCAACAAATTTTCACAAGTGTTTTACTATATGGAAGAGCAATTCTGATGAAGGAAATAAATTGCCTTAATATTAAGAACTTCAAAAGATAATTTAATTGATGTAAACTTCAAGTACATCAATCTGTAATTGTTTTTGTTCATAATAAGCACCAGATGGGTCTTGTGACTTTTTAGCACATTTTTATATTTAAATACATATTAATCTAAACCCATAGAATACACAACACCAAGGGTGAACTCTAAGCTATGACCTTTGGGCAATTATGGTGTGTCAACGTAATTTTATCAGTTACAACAAATGCACCACTCTGGATGGGGATGTTGATAATGGGGGGAGGCTATGCACCTGTGGGAAGGGAGCATATGGGAAATCTCTGTACTTCTCTCTACTGTGTGTGTGTGTTTGTATGTGTGTGTACTTAAAATTGTGCTAAAAAAATCCTAAAAATAAATTAGTTCAATTTTAAAAGTAATAAAATTTAAAAAACAGAAATTACAATATCTAATTTAGGCTTCTCTGAAACGTATTTCTTCTGAAAGATCAGTAAGTTGAGAGTAAGAACAAAAATAACACTAAGACCATACAAGAGTCAATGAAAATATAAATAATATTGAAAAGGATTAATAGAAAGAAAAAAATGTTTGACACCTCCCCCCAAAAAGACATGAGATAATGAATCAAGAAAGCTTATATTCCAAATAAAATCAATATGGAAAGACTGCTGCACTTAAAAATACCTTGGTGGGTTTTCTTTACAAATTATTTCAAGAGATCTAGGAAAAATGTTAAAAACATAAAAAATACAAACTATTAAACAGTTTACTCACAAAAAATAAAGAGCAGTTTAGCTTTAAAAATTTCTCTCCAAAGTATAAAAATCAGTTGATTCTGCAGGAAATTTTTTAAACAAAATAGCTACCCATGAATTCTATAGGAAAGACAACTATAGGACATGTTTATATATATATAAATAAGAATCACAATTCTTATATATATATATAAGAATTATATATATATATAAGAATTCACAATTCTTTTCCTTCTCCTGCTATATTTTAAAATCAAACCAATCAAAGGGTAAATCACTTAGACATTCATCAAAATTAAGAACTTTTGAAGTGTAGAAGTTGTGACCAAAAAGAACTAATATTGGGCTCTGAAACCAGATATAGCTAAACAATTTTCCCTTGGCCACAATATGTAACGGCAGATAAATTTTTGAAAGAGATATGTTTATAGCTTTTATAATCCAAGTTTAAATAATAAAGTGTGAGAAAAGAGTAGGAACATTCCTCAAGTTTCATAAACAAGTGTAAAATAAATATGTTTTCCTATCGTGGGGTAGGGGAATTCATTTAGATCTTAAACTCAGAGTATACACTAAATGATGGATCGCAACAAACAGAAATATATAACATGTCTTTGGCTGAGAACACTTAGTGGCACAAATATAGACTTCAGCAAATAGGATACCATTAATCCTTGAAGGAGATATGAAAAATACCTCTTAGAATAAAAGAAATCTAACCTCTTATGTTACTGTATAAATTTTATGCAAGTACACTCAAATCCTAAAGTGTGTGTAGTGTGTGTTTTAGGAGAGTCAGAGTACAGAATGAAATGGTTTTAAAGTTTACTTTGAAGAATAAATGACACATTATACTCCCTCCCAAATTATGGGGGAAAAGCACAAGGGTTTAGATTACTACATATTAAAATTCCAGTGAAAAAAATTTGGTCCATATTTATATTTTAAAAATAAAATGCTACAAATATCTTCAAGTTCCATCCTTGAAAATGATATATGGTTGCATCACAGTACCTAATACAGTGACTTGCACATAATAGGTGTTTAATAAGTATTGCTGTGCAAATCTTGAAGAAAAATATAGATGATTTTTATTTTATCCTGTGAGCTAAACTCATTCAGTTCCAGAATTTCTGAGTAAAATATTAATATAAATAAATGATGTGCATGTTATCTGCTTTTGCTTAGCTGGTCAGATCATTCTGTGCCAGCTCTTGAAAACTGTCAGAACCGTTTACTATTCTTCACTTGTATTTCAATTCAAGTCTAACTGAATAACGACTAGACTTTTTAAAAATATTGATTAATCTATTTCATGGTTATAAATATTTCTTTTCAAAGAAAACCAATATTTTAAATTTCTTTGCTAAGTAAAAAAATTAATCTATATTATTCTGTTAATAATTGTGTAAAATTTTTTCTAATTATTAATTTTTAGTGTCTCCTATATCCTCTATCCATTAATCATTATACAATAGTTTAATTGTGGTGATTTTACAATATGAACACAAATTGTTTGATAATCCTCCCTTCAAAAGATGGAGTCAAATCCCTTCTTGTGAGGTTGGATTTAGTGACTTACTCTTCAAGAACAGAATGTTTCAGAAGTGATTAGTCACAATTAGGTCATAAAAGACCTCTTTTCTCTCCTCTGATTATTTGCTTGAGGGAGAAGCCAGATATTATGTCATGAGGGCACTAACAGAGAGTGCCATTTGATAAGGAATTGACACCAGACGGCAAACAAGCAAGTAAAGGAGGCATTTTTCCCCACAAGTAGCTAAGTGATATATCCTGAAGTACATCCTCCAGACTCAGTCTAACCCAGTGGCATCTTGACTACACCTTCATGGGAGACCCTGAGACAGAGCCACTTCCAAATTCTTGAACTACAGGAACTATTAGATAATAAATGTAGTCTTAAACTGATGAATTTGGGGATAATTTGTTATGCCACAACAGATAACTAATACAAATCTTAAACTGTTAATCCAATAAAATGCATACTGGTTACATGTTGGGAAAATTTCCTGGGCCAAGAGACCAAAGAAAGAGGCTGACAATTCCATAATTAATTACCTCGAGAGTTTATTGAAGGAATTTACAGCAGAGGAGCATGGATTTCCTCAAGACAATGTGGATATCCTCCTCACCACCACATGGCAGGCACTATAGACTTATATAGAATAAGGCTAGAGGGATGGGCTATTGGTACCCATCCTAGGCATGGGGAAGATGTCTTATTCACTTGCCCAGGGTGGGGCAAGGAACTGTTACAGAAATCAGCATAGCTGGGGCATAGGAGAGGGTTTGGACAGTCTCTAAAGGGCTTGACATAAAATAATTTCTTTTCTGGCCTGGATCAAGCTGGATTTAGCTGGAGGGTTGGCAGCTGGTCATGTCACTGAAGTCTCTCCTCCATAGTACCCCTTTTAAATGCTGGAAAGAATTATGCTTGAATTTCTGTGTTA